ATGTACTAACTCCAATTCGTGGAGTTCGTCCAGGGGGAGTTACCGAACAATCATTCGGATAGAAGTGAAAAGAAATACAGACACTATAGACACTAGGACCAAACTAGTGGACAGAACCTTCGGTCACCGAACAAAGCACTGTCGGGTAGACGGACTAACAAGGAGTAAAATGGGCACGATATTGAACCGGCTATTGCAAGGACTGTCCAATCGGAGTAGAGGGTAGGAAATATAATAAGCGACAAGTAAGCGCTTAAGCACCAATTCTATATGGAATTAATCACAAAGGTCAACGACTGTTAAACAAGGCGAATCATCTGACGGAGTAACTATGAGCCAGTTTATGTGTATTGGTGATCATGGTGATCGACCAAGGAGGGTAAATGGAGCATTCGATCCAAGGTATAGTGACACTGAGATAGAGGGAGAACGGTTAGTTGGCATATTATCATGGCAGAAGGACTAATGATGATGTTACCGCTGACTCGAGCATTGGCAATGAAGGGGATGGTGCTGATGAAGTTGACATTTATCATTATCAATATACAGGAAGACAATAATCGTCAACGCGATGAGCGGGTTTTCGATAACGATGACCATACTCACTGTTATTGTGATTGCGGTGATGTTGATGTTTAGGACCATTTTCCTGATGATCTTGATACCGATGATGAAGAATAAATTTAAAAATGATTATGTTCATAATTTTTGGGTTGGTCATGATGATGTAACATACTACCGGGCTGTGTTTGGTTATCTGTCAAACTATTTTCAAACCCCGTAGGCGGACAATTGTTCTCGAATGACTCATAATCGTGGCTGTGCAGACCATATAAGGGTTTGTTGTTAGTGGGGACATTTTCACGCTGGATCGAAAGGNGTGGACCAGCCGCTTTTGTACACATAGTTCTGCTGCGAAGAAACGAATGGCTATCGCCTCAGCGATAGCCAGTGTTTAAGTGCCTAAGGACAATAGCCATCCCCTCTTCGCACCAGAACTATGTGCGCAAAAGTGACTAGTCCAAGTTCGTCCAAGTTTGAAGTAGTCCAAGTTCCCCACTTACCCTGGCTCTAAATTGATCACCAACATCAACATCACCACCACCAATACGCCAATCACAATGTCATCCCAACACAGACACACAGGGCTTATCCCACCTCTCCCTTCTCCCCATCCCAAATAACCTTTCGATCCAGCGTGAAAATGTCCCCACTAACAACAAACCCTTATATGATCTGTACAGCCACGATTATGAATCATTCGAAAAAGATTGTTTGCCTTCGAACTTGTATTCTGATGTTACGATGGGATTATTCTGGAATTTCTTTTCAAACTATCGCATCATCGCGTTCTTCCTTTCCTAATATTTTTGCCATGATATGTACGCTTTAATTTGCCCTGTATGACGATAAACTCTTCTGTGTGTCTAATCTCTAATCGATTGAACATGCTGGATATCTAGTCCTTCCTTTTCACCTGTGCTTCCTGATTCCGATGGACTACTTTCTATCGAACTCTCCGTCGAACTGCTGATATTGATCGTTTCCCCTCCATGTTTGAACTGTATCCGAACTATCCCTGTCTAATTTAATCCTTTATCTTTTAATAATACGATCTGCCAGCTCAAATGACTGTTCTCTTAATCCCGGACACGTTACTGTTCGATGATTATTGCTTTTCTGGTTTTCCAGTTATCTTATTGGCCTGGAACCAGTTTCGATCCATTTCCTGACTACATCATCCTCTGTACGCTTACTTCATAGGATGCTTATTGGTCCTGCATTCGCTGTTCAACCGGATAATCTCTGCAGCTGTCTACCACCTTCCGTTTATTATAATTGGACTGTGATCATCGGTAGCTTTGAAATCTGTGGAATCCCCGTAGATTCTGCCAGGTTACTGACAATGTTCTAACTGAGAACAGTCCCAGCTATCAACTATTTACTTCCCGAGAATGGTTGAACCTATCAGCAATTTCCTTCGGGACAATGATTGAATTGATCGAGAAATTTTCCCTCCGGAGGAGACCCAAGTATAGTCGTTTTCGACTTAAGTTCATGTAATAGAGTCATCAACATATACATTTAAAGTTCTTTATGCCATCGAAACAAAGAAGCTTGCTGATTCAGTGCTTAGATACCGATGTGCAGAGATCATGCATAGGTGATATCAGGAGGAGCGATATTGCGTTTTAATGGAGAATTCTTCCTTCAGAAAGGGTACACGGAACGGTGCATGAACAACATTCTGAGACAGCACCGGTTACCGAACCTTACCTTTGGACGGAAACCCGTGTACACACTGCTACCTTTTAATAGAGAAACAACTGACCAGGCTTCAGTTGATATAGTGATTACGTAAGCGAAAATAAATATTTTTGCAACTTAGCTTCACATTGTGCTCGTTCCCACGGAGCACTGAGTCAGTAATCACTCTTTAGCACACATCGTTTATCCTTAAATACCATAAGCATGCATGAGTATAGAAATAATGTGGAATTACTGTAGCTCAGGATGACTTGAACGCACCAACACCAGCACGTATGAGTATATCTTTTCATACTTGTTAAAGAAGACCAATCTATGGGGATACAATATTCATGAAAATGATTATAAACTTGTGTACCTTTGGTCTAATGTCCTAATTTCATGGACTGAAAAGCAGACTGTTCAGGAGAAACAAACTGGAGCGTCAAATGCGAGAAATCCCGTGCAATTTTATACCAAACATGGGCAAATCTGGACTCTACTCTCACGCCAACAATCAGCGTAGGATGCGGATTTCTCGTAGAAAAACGTATTCAATCATGAATCTATGGCGAACGCCTCAACACGGTCTCGCAAAATGAAACTATCCGAGATGCACAAAGATCTACGGGCGCTTTGTCGGCAATCTAGGTCATTTGTTTCCACGAATACGGCCTCATTTTAGCGTTGCTTTATCAACGAGATAAGAATAGAAGGGATACAAAAAATACAAGATATTAACATTTCTTTTAATCTTCTCATACTCTAAAACTTGAAACAATCTGATATTTATACAAGAAAGTTTTCAATTCCACTGCGGCTAAACAGGCAGCATTCAGGGGAGCGGGAATCAGAATCCCTGCTGCGATACGTTAAGTGATTGTTTTGTGCACGAAAAATTAGAATACGAAACTTGATTAACATTGCTTCGCTTTGTTGTGACAGGGGCCGGTTCGTTCTGCCGATTTAAGCGTGACTGCAACTTCAGATGAACTGACAAATAGCACGTGAAGCGGAATTGGGCGTCTGGCTCTGTTTTCGGTTCGCCAGACAAATTCCCTGGGTGTACGGTGTCAAAAGCTTCTTCCATAAACACTAGGTTGTTTTACGTTTCAAGTTAAGTTAAGTCAAAGAATCCCTTTATGCACCCCGAGGGGTGGATATATCCAGCCACCGCATAACCACAGTGTATAAATAGTAAAAAATGAAAAATTTAATACAGTTATTAAAAGGTGAAACGGATAGCAACATCACGAAACCGATGATACAATGGTGCTTATCATTGGTTTATAGTTTTGTAGATTGGCATTTTGCACAGATTTTCAGAAACAAGTTCGTAGTTTGTGAGAAATCTTGCGAGATACGGGACAGTAGAGCGTATGGTAGTCGCACAATGGTCGTCTTGGTAACCAGTGTAAAAGTTCGTGCGATTGACGCAAAAAATCCGGAGACACAGTGATGGTTATGCAGTGAATAATCTTAAGATAGAAAAACGTATAGCGTTTTGGCGACTGAGGAGATTAAAAGAAATGTCAAATCCCTTGGTATTTGTCTGCATTCTGTTGTAACGAATTGGAAAAACTGGACCCACTGTTTCGATATAAGAATAATGAATTACGAAACGAAGAAAACAATGGGGTGTTTGGACAAACGGTGAGGTGAACTCCGTCATGTCTAGGCTGATGTATAGTGAAACGAGAATGCTGTTTGAATTCACTAGCCCAACTGGAATGCTGATCCAGAGCAACATAAGGGGAAGTCAAGCACGGCATCTACTTGAACGATGGATAGTCAATTAGATCATTTCCCCTAACCCTAACCGTTTGGTTGAAATTCCTCTACAGTGTTTCCTCGCGTTTAACTTTATTTTTCAACATATACACGGCCTAACAATACGGAATAGGTCACAAAAATTAAACTATGCAGTACTGAACTATTCTCTCATACTTTCTACGTGGCAAAATACGTGCAACCCACGTTCGCATCTACAATGTGGGTCTTGATTTCTCTCTCATTTGAGTTTGGTTGAAATGCGGTTGTGCAGTGAAATAGAAAATAAATAGACAAAACTTCAAAGGATGGGAACCAGAATGAATGATTACCTCAGCGTGAGAAAATTTGAGTCGTTTGTGCGTGAACACATACATCATTTCAGAGAATTAAATTAAAGAACCATTTTAAAAAATCAGTCGGGCGTGGGTGCATTGGTGGAGGCTGTTCTAAATGACTGCCGTACATCCAAAGACGGTTTGTTCTTAAAAGAACACTTTCAGTAATCTAAACCCAATTTCAGATAAGTGGACTTGATAGGGGTCAATTCCGAATCTATGTAAATATTTCGGATAACTTACCATTCGTCACCGACGTTGTTTGATAGCATTCTGATGATAAAATCTCCCGGGTTATACTGGGCGTCAGAAGTATATCAAACAACATTTGATGATAAACAGAGGAATCAAGAAGTAGTCACTTCAATCTGAACAGATCGATTACGAAAAATCGTTTCGCCAAATGAATTTAAAGAAAAAGTGTAAGAGATTTACGCAACCAGATATACTTTGCTTTATGTCATCGGGAAAATAAGAAGTGCAAAAAATAAAAATGGCCACAGCAAATCGATGAACTTGCCGGCAATTAATTCAAAATTCTCTTGGTTTTGCCAAGGCCACCTCAGGGTTAGGATTACCGCTTCATACTTACACAAACTGGGCTTCCTTCGTTCAGCAATGCAAAAGAAAATAAATATCGCGAGATGTTAACATTTAGTTTACTCTTCTCGATCGCTGACTTAAAACAAACAGGTACATATATGTAACACACGGGGTTGTTCAATTATGGGGACTAACGTGATCAATCATATAAAGATTACTAAATATAGAAGGATAGGATCAACTCCACTGTAATTCGACTGATTGTAATGGATTCCATTTCGCCTGTTCGCTGAGCTTGGCAATTTGTTTGCAAACGTTTCATCACTAGCCGAGGTACATCATCAGTGCTTGTGAAGTAGCAGTGTTCTGCTTGTACCCGTTCGTTTATATATTTGTTCTTCTCCACCGATTATTTTCGTCCACTGTTCTCACTGTGTTCGACTCGGTTCGCCGTTGAACTGGTGCGAGCGGGTGGAGGGTGGGACCGGGAGGGAGGTGATTGTCCTTTTGTTTGTCATGGGATCAGAAGTGCTTCACTAATTGCCATAATTTTACCATTTTGATTACGTGATAGCGGTTTGAAAGATGAATTCGGTTCAACTGGTTTTCTGGTTGTTATTACATGTTTTGGATTTATTGTGATCACCTGACCATCAATTATCGGTTGCGTCATCGACTTGGAATGTGTTCAGCCATCCGTTGTGAGAGCTGACGGTTTGTTCCATGCATGCGTCACCGCAACTGTAAGTGAACTGGTATACAGTGTGTGAGACGGAACTGGTTTATCAGCCATACTTGTCCAAATTTTANACGAGTAGAGGCAACGGGTCCGAGTTGAGCAGCTGGGAATGTACGATCCAGAGCTGACCTCAACTTGTGGCGCACATCATTTCAAATGTGGTCACATTTGAACGCACGCTTTAGGCAGATGGACTTTTCGCTAACGTTTGGGATTAGGGAATGGTCTACTGTGAATATCTATAAACATTTCTGAGTAGCCATAGCTTAGCATTGTTCTCCTTAGGAGATTCTCTTCTTCCTTTAATGTATCTGGAGAACAAATTTTCTCGCCAGATTAAATAGGGCTCCCACTAGTCCACGTTTGTAGGCTAAGGGGGAAAAGATTGAAAGGGGCATTGACTGAGCGTTGTAATACCCCGTTGATTCGCTTCATAACTTTCATGTCTAGAAGCGTCAGGCTGTTTTTGGTTTCTACCTGATGAGATACAGAGACATATGGATGGACTGAGTTAGAATGCTGTAAAATTGTTTTAAAATGATCATTATCTCCTTGAATAAAATTATCGTCCACATAATGTTTGTACAGAGTGAATTTGGACATATTGCACTGACTTTTCTCAATCATTCATAGGAACACAGCTGATACAAGGGGACCCATTGCAACGCCATCAATCTGTCTGCATGTGATCCATTCAAACTTAAAACGAATGGTTTTTGTGCATACAAGAATAAGTTCTCTTGAGTAGTCTAGGGGAGTATTAGGGGAAAATTGTTTAAAGAAATATAATCACATCCCTAGTAGCTGACACCCAGTACACCTCTTGTAAACCTGCTTCTACCTCTCCATCCAGCGCGTTCTCTTTTTGAATGTTACTTTTCCCGACTGCAATAGTTATACCAAAGAAGTTTATATTTGATTTAAAAGAAGTAAAAGCTTTTGAAAATTGCATTTCTAGATGTTCCACATGTTATTGTATGTATATTCGTAGAAAACTCCTATTGTTTCGCACATCTGCATTGCGAGCAGCTACAGTACCCTCCCCTTTCTCCCTCACTCCTCTCTTTGCCTCCACTCATTAGTGTGACATACACCCAACACATCTGCAACGGGCACTGCTTATCAAAGGAAACTTGACAACAATCGACATTTGGAAACATTGGTCTTTACCGCGAACTCGAGAACCATTTCAAGGTTGTCTGGTCCGTGACCTTTGACCTGGTTCCCGTTGGTGGACAAAAGGGTCTACTCAATACAGTCTAAGCTGCCGTTCAGTTCGGTGTAGGTAGGTGGCTGAGCACTCGCAGGTGAACATGTATACGGTGATTTTGTATGAACTGTAGACGCTTGGCTGGAAAAGGTTTATCGCCCATGCAACCTGAACTAATCTAATCGCACCTGGGCAACCATAGACAAGGGAAGTAACCAAAAAGGTGGCGTAAATAACCCCAAAGTATGAAGTTAGGAGGAAAAACACATTGACTGGAGTGAGTGCGAGGTCACGAAAAAGAAGGACTATCATAATGCTATTATAGGAAACGTGGTAGACAGAAATCAGGAATTAAAATCTCAAAAGAAATAGAACTGAATCATTTGCCGAAATCTTCCGTCTACAAAAAGTAAGAAAAAGACCACAAAAACAAAGGTTAGATTATTGCAAGAAGTCAACGCGAATCAATACTACCTCGAACATCTCGAAAGATACAGCATTCTCTCGACAGCTCAGCATGGGTTTAGGCAAAAGCGATCCTGCACCACGAACCTGCTTCTCGTTCGAGATGAATGAACCAGTACAGTCGACGAATGGGATGCGGTGGATGTGATTTATCTCGACTTCGCAAAAGCATTTGATCGAGTGAATCACAAAATTTTACAGCAGAAGCTCTATAATTATGGCGTTCGAGATTTCGCATTTGAGTGGATCAAAGCATTCCTCGATCAACGAACCATATCAGTTCGTGTTTCTGATTCTGTATCCGGACCCATCAAAGCCACCCCGGTTGTTCCACTAGGTTCCGTACTCGGTCCCCGTCTGCTGCTCGCCTTCGTTAGTGATCTACCGAAAGTGTTAAGGTCAAAAACATTACTGTTTGCAGATGACGCCCAAATCTGGAACACGGTAACAGAACCAGAGGGCTTTCAAACACTTCAGGAGTCACTCAACGCAGCTTATCAATGGAGAACGACATTGAATTTAATGTTTCTAAATGCAAAGTCCTATCCCTACGCCACAAGCGGAAATTCTCGTATTTCCTCGGGGACCAGCAGCTACCACATACTTCTAGCGAAAAGGACTTAGGTATTGTTAATCAAGAGGATTTAAGCTGCTCCAACAACAGTGCTAAGGCTTCGTCTGCTGCTATGAAGAATGTCGGCTTACTTCGGCCAGTCTTTGGCCGGTTTGAATCACCACTATTCCCACGTTTGCTATCAGCGTACATTCGACCCTATACAGAGTACGCCATCCAAGCTTGGAGTCCATGGCTTCAACTTGATCGCAAGATGCTTGAGCGTCCACAATGGATGGCCACCAAGATAGTCAAGGGATTCCATTACCTGTCATACGAGGAGAGATTGCGATCATTGGAATTATATTCTGCTCAGTACCACCGAACGCGAGGAGACTTGATTTTGACGTATCAAATACTGCAGAACCCAAACCATCTGTGTCGATCGCTTCTCATGTTATCGAACAATGTACACCAAAGGGGACACCGTTTCAAACTACTGATTCCAAAGTCTCGACTGGATTGGTGGTGCCAGTCTTTTGCAGACAGAGTATGTAAATCTTGGAACGCCCTTCCATCTCATGTCGTTTGTGCACCCACTATTGAATCTTCCACGCATAGACTCGACAAAACCTTGGCACACCTCACATTCGTACACTAAAGGCAAACGGAAATTCACTGTGGCCTACATTCTCTATCTCCTACTCGAATCTCTATGCGACTCCTTTTCCCATGTGTAACGATTCATCTGTATAAATATCCTATGGGACAAGAGAAGCACCAGCTTGTAAGCTATTCCCATAATAAAACTTTGACTTTGACTTCATTTACAAAAGGTTCCATTGACCGAACAGCAGTAACCAATCAAAGGGCATGTTGCGTACAACCCCATTTGAACTAGGTCAAGTGTGATTGGTCCAGAACACCGTATGTTCATGGAATGATGTGTATCTGTATCGAGTGGATCCTTCGATGCTTCTTTCATGGAGAGTGGGATAACCATAGAGATAGATCGATATTTTGATCGTGCGCTGCGAGTGGATGCATATATATGAGAATAGTACAAAACTTTGGCTGGTTGAATCGAACTCACCAACAAGGACAACAAACAGGAGTGCCAAGCTTGGCGAACAGGCGAAATGGAAAGAAGTGGATACCATCGGAAAACTATGATAACAGTCCATGACAGAAACACACGGGAAACTAGATGCTATTCAACATATTAAATGGATTTCAGATTATAGGAGCAACAAAGATAGGGGTTCGTTCGTTGTTATGTGAATAAACACTATGAGTTGAGAGAACAGCAGCTATGCATATCTTGAACAGTACTCCTCAGACAATCCATCTTTTCCATCTATTTCCTCAGGTTTTGGAGTGATGACTGCGGACATAATTTTGGTTTAGGGTACGGATACAGTTCTGGTTTCTCAATTTCAGAAACAGTTCGCGGGGATGATATCTCGAGGACAGCGAGCGCCACTCATTGTCGCGCGAAGGAGTTTCGCGTCCATGGGGCATTCATTTTCGCCAAGTGGATTATAACTCTGCATCAGTTATTTTTCAGATGAAAAGCACGTTATGCAGTTAGTCTACAGGGAATCAGATTGGTTGTTGCACAACATCATTCGACCACTGGACTGACCAACTCACACACTGTTGATGTGAATCCGATAGAAGATGTCTGCGAAACCATGGCACATGCCTTCTCATACGGAACAGAGCTATTATTGAAGGACTGATGAATTTAAAATACGGATGC